CCCCCTCGGCGGGAGCGCTGCCACGCTTCCCAAGCGGCGCACTGTAGCAGTGCGCCACCGGGCCAGCCCTAAAAAAAAAACTTTGAAGTACAACTTACATAGACAGAACTAACAAAATACTTACCTGTATTTTGATTTTACTAGTTCCATAGTGGAGCTTATCTCACAGCATTTATTTTGGAAGTAAATGTGAGTTTGTGTTTTATCCTATAGTTTAAAACATAAGCTTTCTTAGACTTACTAATAATAAGCTTAATTACTTTCTGAAGAGTGATATAGCTAGGTACACATATTTGAGTGTTATAGAATTTGATGCTAGTAGCAAGTACAGTTTTATGATTTGTATATTGTGTTATGCCACCACTTTTATAATCCCATTTACTTCTTCCTTTCCCTTTGCTACCTCTGCTTTTTTTCCATCTTAAAGTATGAATACATTAAAACCGAAAGCATCTTTGTCTGTCTTTATTATACACACATGTGCACACACAAACACAATTTGAAATTTCTTTGAAAGTCAAGGCACAAGTAAGAAGAAAATGTGCATGTTAGCATGTGAAGGAAGGTTAATGTTAAGGATGAAGACTTGTAGTATATTACTGTTTTAATCTTCTAGTGGCGATTGGCATGTCAGTTAAGAAATAGCATAAATTTATTTTGGAATATTAGATATAATATCAAATCCTAATTATTAAGTTGTTTAGATTGTGGACATTTTTTAATGTATGATTTATTTTTCTCTCTGGATTTTAAAGGGTTAATGTAATTAACTTGTTTTATTGGCAGACGCTAATGTGGTTCTTTGTGGTTTACTCCCCTTATCTTCTGGTTCAGGAAGGTTTGGATTGCCTTTGAGCTAAGTGGGGGAGCAGTATGAGAAGTGAGGCTTGTGGCTTGCATTAAGTGTCTGTTGAGGTTGGAAAGAGCCTGGCATAGCAGTGACTAAATAATATTTGTTAAATAAATGATTAAATGAATGCGTGCATGAATGAAAACACCCCAGAAGGTGTTTCTGATAGGGAGATGGGAATGGCCATAAAAATTTTCTTTTACAAGTGAGTATTTTGAGGGTTCAGATGATAACTGGTCTCTAATTCATATCCATCAGCCATTTGTAGCTTTTTCAGAATAAGAACCATCATCTGGGTGTGAGGGTCCTGGGGGAAAAATTCTCCTATGCCTGCAATTTGCTCATTGCAGTATTTCAACGTAAAATAATTATGGACTTTTGCTTTTTGACATATTTTTGCACCAGCCAGGTAACAGAATTTCAAATACCTGATTAAATATATTTCTTTATTTTTATTTTTATTTTATTATTATTATTATTATTTTTTGACTGGTAAGGGGATTGCAACCTTTGGCACGGTGCTGTCTGCACCATGCTCAGCCAGTGAGTGCACTGGCCACCCCTATATAGGATCCGAACCCACGGCCTCGGCACTACCAGCGCTGTACTCTCCTGAGTGAGCCAGGGGGCCAGCCCTAAATATATTTCTTTTTTTTTTTTTTTTTGTCTTTTTGTCTTTTTCCGTGTCCGGCAACGGATCGCAACCCTCAGTGTTGCCCCCGTACCGGACCGGGGACTGGCAACGGGATTGCAACCCTCGGTGTTGCTCCCGCGCCTCGCTCAGCCAGTGAGCGGGAACCAGTCTGTATGTGGGATCCGAACCCTCGGGCGGGAGTGCCGCCGCGCTTCCCAAGCGGCGCACTTATCCAGTGCGCCACCGGGCCGGCCCAAATATATTTCTTTAAAAAAAAAACTTTATGCAGTGCAGAAAGAACTGGTTTTAAACCTAATTTTGCCAGTTCCAGACTGGATGTGACCTCATTCTAATCACTTAATCACTCTCGATCTCCTCCTTTGTAAGTAGGGATAATAAACCTGTTTAACTGACTTATGGTATTGTGTGGATGAAAAGCACTTTTTAAAATTGTAGGTTATTTTAAGAACAAAGGGTTTACTAAGAGAATTGAAAACATATGTCAACACAAAAATGTGTACAGAATTATTACAGCAACATTATTTATTTTTTATTTATTATTATTATTATTTTTTTCCTTTTTGTCTTTTTTTGTGACCGGCAACGGGATCGCAACCCTCGGTGTCGCGCCCGCACCGCGCTCAACCAGTGAGCGGACTGGTCTCTATATGGGATCCGAACCCTCGGCGGGAGCGCTGCCATGCTCCCAAGCACCGCACTCTACCGAGTGTGCCACCGGGCCGGCCCAGCAACATTATTTATAATAGCCAAAAAACAGAACCCAAGTGTCCATCAGCTAATGAATGGATAAGCAGAATGTGATATATACATACAGTAGAATATTATTCTGTCATTAAAAAGGAATGAAGTGTTGATATGTACTGCAACATAGATGAACCTTAAAACATCATGTTAAGTGAAAGAAGCCAGTCACAACAGGCCACTTGTATGATTCCATTTAAATGAATTTCATTTATATGAAATGTCCAGAATAAGCAAATCCGTAGAGACAGAAAGTGGATTAGTGGTTACCAGGGCTTGGGGGTGAGGGAAGAATGAGGAATGACTTCTAATGGGTATGGGATTTCTTTTTAGGGTTATGAAAATGTTTTAAAATAGATAATGGTGATGTTGCCCAAATCTGAATATACTAAAACCCACTGAATTTCATACTTTCAAAGGGTGAATTGCATGGTATGTGGATTAAAGTTCAAGAAAGCTCTTACAAAAAAAGAAAAGAAATGAAGGGCATAGTTTAGAGGACTGAACTGAGCTGATAACTCATAGATAGAATGGCCTTATCATCAGAAATTGCACAGATTTAGGTCTGTGTTCTCTCCTTGAGGATAGAGATATTTTATTCATCTTGGTATCCCTAGAAACTAGCATGTGCTTGTCAGGAAATATTTATAGACTAAAAGAAGGAATTAGAATTTGCTTAGCTATGGAATTTGAAGAAACTAACTTTCCTGAGCTTCATTGTCTTGTCTGTAAAGTGCAGATAATTTGTATTTCATAGGGTAATTATGAGGATTAATGTGAATTATGTGAATGTGTGTGGT